CTGTATTAAAAAAAATGGGTGTATATGTTCAGCACTGTGTGTGAGTGCACTCACAAAGACTGGTGAATGCACTCACACACAGTGCTGAACATATGCACCCATTTTTTTAATACACACACACAGAGTGCTGACTACAACACAGAGTGCTTACTACAACACAGAGTGCAGACTACAACACAGACTGGTGAATGCACATACACAGAATTCTAAATACACACACACACACACACACACAGCTGATTACACATACAGACTGCTAAATACATACACCCAATTCATTTTCCAGGGTCCTTCTTAGGGACAACCCCCAGAGGAGACACACACAAATTAGGCAAAGGAGGTTCCACAAACGGACCCGCCATCGTACCCTGTTGCATTTTCTTGCACCGAACCACCTCTACGAAGTTAAAAAATTATCTCAAGTTACGCCCACTCCCCAAATCCCCCCCAATCTTGGAACGGGATTAAGAAAACATTCTCAAAACATGATCACAAAAACTCCACGTCAGCCCTGTTACCGTCATGGCTTAGCCACGGTAACATCAAGTCTAGCCTCATTTGCTTTAAGCCCTGTGACAGCAGAAGGAGCCCTACCGGATCGAGGCCCTGAGCCTTACCTCGCTTAAAGCATATGAGGAACCTAAAAGCACCTAAAGCAACTGAGGCAGTGAGTGCACCTGCCGCCGGAGCATTCATGCTTAAACCGACACCTGGTACCCTACTTGCACTGGCCCTCATTAAGGAGCCAGTAAAAACCTATTTTGAGTGCGTCCGACGAGGAGGACTACTCCCAGCACTGGCTGCCAACTGAAAGGGAGGTGACTTCTGCACCATCATTAACTTCATCCACAAAGGCAGTTCCATCTGGTCCCACCTCATCCCTGGGTTTGCAGAACACCTCTGCCAGAACTGCTCATCATATTTCCACCATGCCAATCCGCCATACGTGCAGTACATCTCCCATACTCCATCCAGATAAGAGAACAGCTATGAACACAGACCAGTGATTTTTCTCTGAGAACACTGACGAGTATGCAAAAAGACTGCAGCCACTTCCCGAATGACTTAGGTATCTTCAGATACCTCTTACACCTTTCTTTCTCCTCTTTCTTGGCATCTTTTTTATGCTCCTCCTTCAGGTCCATGAAGTAGGGATGTGCATGGTCAAAAGATTTGGTTTGGAAATTCGGGTAAGTAAAAAATTTGTCTGCTTCAGCAATTCGGACCAATGGCATTCGGTTCGGCCCTTTGGCAATTCAGAACTAAGGTAATTTGGACCCTTACCACTTGTTTTGCCACTTTTCAGAAATCTGAACCACTTCGGCAATTCGGAACTTCGGTTCGGCACTTCGAAAATTCGGCAATTTGAACTTCGGACATTCGTAAGCATCCGAATGTCTGAATTTCACGATGTTTGTCTGAATTAACATTCAGACCAAAATGTCGCACGTGTCTTCCATGAAGTCCTCCAACAACAGAAGCGAAAAGATTTTGCAAAACTCACCCTTCCATATCTTCTTCTTTAACTCCTGCTTCAAGTGCACCCCTAGGGAAGGAAACATAGGTATTTGGCCAAGCCGCGTCGGAAACAGCTGTAAACATCGCAGTCTAGACTGTAGTCACTGTCCGAGCGCCCGAATCGAAACGCACGACTCTGAGCCCCCAGCCATCCCTGAACACAGATCCCACACATTACCCACATCAGCCCCAGGTGACCCACCCTTGCCCCATGAATCAGTCAACTGCAATGAATCAACAAAACCCTCTGAATGCCGTGTGTCATCCAACTCACCAACTAAGGCCCTCTCCTGCGAAGGCCTCTGGACTGCACTAATGCCCATGTTCTCTCCTCGCCAACCGGACTAAACCACCCGATGCCTTAACTGCACCGAAGAAGACCAGCTCCTTGACCTGAAACCAGAAGAAAAAGTCCTGGACAGGATGCACCATTCACTAGACACCCCCCTGCCATAACCCAAGGATCAACCTTCCCGCCACCAAAGAATCCAGACTCCCTTCCTGGCACCCTCAGACACAAGATGCTTGGGGCTACGACTCCTGCTGCGATATCTGGGGGAACTGCCGCGTGACTCCAATTGAGAACTTACCAAAAAGCCCCAGAAGATCTGCCCAGATCCTAAAGTTGCATGGACCCTGAGTTGGAATCACATGGGGCACCACTGCCAACCGAACCCGAACTGTCATCCCCAGAATACGATGGGCTCCCCCTCCCCCCACTAGTGGGACAGCACTGTTGCAAGACCTATGCCTCTCGTGCCACATCCCCGTCCCGTGGGACCTCCTGCCGTACCAAGGTGTGATCCTGTGGGCCTACCAGTGCCTCCGTCCACTGCAACACACAAAGCTTGGTCCTCTGCAGGCCTGCCTCACCATGTGCCTCAGGACATCCTCTGGCATCTCTGTTCACCATCAAGATCACCAGGGGGGCTGAGGTTCCTCCCCACGCCTCATGCATGGCCGCCGAAACTTGCAGCCCCCACCGCTCTAGCAACACGGACAGGCCCTACATCCTGCCTGGGCTCAGCCTCTATGGTGGCTACCTCCCCACAGTCCTGGACCCCCGTCCTGCTTCATTAAGTTAAAGTTGTTTTAATGACTGTAGTGTCCCTTTAAGCTAATAGAGGCAAGTTATAAGTGCTGAAAACTTGAACCCCCCCTAGTGGTTAGGTACCTGTATGCAGATGCCTACTCTGTCTATTAGGAAAACTTGCTTATTAGTCCTCCAGTCTCCTCTGCACTGTACATATAAAGGGATTTATTTGTTTCCTATATGTAAGTCTGCACATATAAATATTAGTAGTAGTAGTAGTAGTATTAATACAGAAACAACTTATTCCGCAGTGCTTTACAACATTATAGAATGTAATGTATAGTTGAGTATGCATTTCCATTTCATACCAGCTTATAGTCAACACATGGTACAAATTGTTGAGATATGCATACTGATATCCTTGATATACTGATGACAAGACTTCATCTGTTGCGGAACTGAAAGTCTAATTATTAATTTTATTATTTATATAGTGCCATCAGATTCCTGTAGCGCTGTACAATGGGTGGACTAACAGACATGTAATTGTAACCAGACAACTGGACGTACAGGAACACAGGGGTGGAGGGCCCTGCTCAATGAGCTTACATTCTAGAGGGAGTGGGGAATAGTGACACAAAGGGTAAAAGTAGGGGTACGAAGTAGGTTGTTAGAAAATTATTCACTGAGGGCTTAGGTAATTTTTGACAGTTGCAGGAGAGGAGTCATGGGGAGTGAGGGATAAAAACCTGCTAACAGTTTAATTGATATGCTTTCTTAAAGAAGTGAGTTTTCGTTGCAGCCCTGGAGAAATCTTGGTGGTGAGCATCAGAGGTGGGAGTACGGACAGAGGATAGACATAGGTCTTTGGCAGAGCGTAGGGACCTCGACGGGACATACTTGTGTATCAAGGAGGATAGGTAGGTTGGAGCAGCATTATGTTGGGACTTGTAAGCAAGCACCAGAATTTAAAATTGAGCCCTATATCTAACTGGAATCCAATGCAGGGACTGACAGAGCGGGGAGGCATGGGAGGTGCGAGCAGACAGGAAAATGAGCCTCGCCGCCGCATTCATTATAGATTGCAGAAGTGTAATCTGGGAACACATAAGACCACTGAGAAGGGGATTGCAGTAATCAAGGCGAGAAAGAACAACAGCATGGACCAGTACCTTAGCCGCATCCGGCGTTAAATAGGGGCGGATGCGCGCTATATTTTGGAGATGGAAGCGACAGAATTTGGCAATTGATTGGACATGAGGGGTGAAGGAGAGGCTGGAGTCAAAAAGAACACCCAGGCAGCGAGCCTGCAAGGTAGAGGTGATGGTAGCGCCGTTGACTTGGAGGGAGACATACACGGGAGTAGCAACACTTGAGGGAGGAAAGACCAGAAATTCTATTTTGGACAGGTTGAGTTAAAGGAAGTGGGCAGCCATCAAGTTGGAAATCGCAGAGAGGCAGTCAGAGACACGAGTCAAGATGGGCGGAGAGAGATCAGGAGAGGACAGGTAGATTTGCGTGTCATCTGCATAGAAATTAATTAGAGGACCAAGGACTGAACCTTGGGGGACGCCGACAGAGAGTGGTTGGAGGGAAGAGGCAGAGTCAGAGAAAGAAACACGGTGGGAGAGGTAGGAGGAGCACCAGGAGAGAGAAGTATCCCGTAGACCAAAATTACAGGGAGAATGTAAAGAAGCTGTTGATGATCAACAGTGTCAAAGGCAGCAGAAAGATCAAAGAGAATTAGGATAGAGTAATGGCCGCGAGATTTAGCAACAATTAAATCGCTGGATACTTTGGTCACAGCCGTTTCGACAGAGTGACTAGCGCGGAATCCAGACTGAAGGGGGTCAAGCAGAGAGTTGGATTTGAGAAAGTCAGTCAATCTGGTGTACACAACTCCAGCCTTACCGGCAAACATAAGAATTGTTGTTCTAGAACAGCTAGGGCATCATCTCTTTTTGCCAGTACTGCCATTGTGTAAAAAGTTGCCATGTACTCAGAACTGTAGCATAACTTTTTCTGAAAGTTCTCTCCTCTCACCAACAATATCATACCTTTAATGTGATTAATAATTACGTTATAATAACTGATATTATTACAGCGTTGTTATAATAAAGGAATAGAATACCTCCTTCTAATTTATAGTACATATACTATGCCACCACTTCTTAAGATGTCCTCCAAATTTCAGAATAAATATATGTTTGAATGTGTTGAATGTTAGTATTTTTTTTTTTTATTAATATTTATTGGGTGGCTCTTGCATTTTCTTTTCACGCATGGTTAGTTGCCTTTAAAAAAGGAAAAAATCTTTTTAGTCAGATTTCCACTGACTGGGGAGAGATGATCCAGTTACAGCCCCTGGGAAGCCTGATTGGTCTGTGTTTTCACTGATGTTACAAGCAAAAGAGAATGGTTTCTGTAAGATCTGAAAATAGCAACAAGTGTTGACCAGTTGGGAGCTGCTCCTGCGAGCATTCCATCTAACGCTGTTCTCTGACTAGGAGTCCCTTCGCACAGAAACTTCAAGACAGCCAGGGGACAACAGGACTGTTAAGTGTGATGCTGGCTGAGCTTCATCTTTTTAACCCAGGAATCTGACATCACTTTTTCACAGCGGAAAAGAAAGAGGAGAATTAACTATGGAATAATAGCCACATGGTGAGTTTAACGCCTCTAAGCATATATAGCATCAGAATGCAGCTGCCTGTGTCTGTTAAACTGAGATTGCTAGATCCTTGGACATGAATTTCCTCTGCTATTGTTTCATTTTATGTTTATTGCATCTCTACACCAACAGCGAGAAAACAAATAGTTTAAATATGCAATTTTTTTTTTTTTTTTGCGTCAATTTTATATTACACTTGCTGTTGATTAGCACCGACACAAATAGATGAGTGAAGCCTATAGAAGCACAACAAAATAACGGTAAACATCTGTTTTACGTAATGCGAAAAGGGAAAATACAACCTGATATTGCTAGTCTGCTGTATAAAAACTGCACTAACATTGTAAATGTCTCAAATCCACATGCATAAACAAAAAATGAAAATATTGCTCAGAAACGTACATCAATTTTTTATTGTTATTGGTGTCACTTTAATAAATAGTTGCTATTATTTTCCATGCTGTTCATTTTTGCTCACATGTAACTGATTCATTGCATAGTGCTTGGCAACAAACAGTTAAAACACATAAGACTGCATGATGCATCTGTCTATGCTTATGCGTTATATTATAATGCAATATGACACCTTCCTGTAGTGTTCTTCATTGCATTAAACACCTTACAAACTCGAGGGGTACTTGGTAAACATTATTAGGGTGCTATGATTTCGCTATTAGTGTGTGGTATTGACTATTGGAAATTGTATATTGCATTAGTTTATATTTACCACTGAGTAAGTAAGAAAAAAACAAAAAGATTTCAACAAAATTTCACATACATTTGATATTTTGTTGGGTTTTTTTTTATTGTTTTTTATTATGTTTGAAATTCTTTTCAGTTGTCTAGGTTTATTTTTTTATATACATATTTGTTTTTTATAATATATTCAGGGAAAGAAAAAAAATCAACAAAGCAATGAGTTTAGGATATGTTACCGAATCTAATTTAAAAAATCAAAACAATATATCCTCTTTAGATAGAGTAAAAAAATACTGTTGTATTTGGGTACTGTCATTTGGTTTAAACATCATTCAATGGATTCATCTCTGAATTCATGATATCAATTGTTCTTACTTTGTTATAAAGAAAAAAAAAAATAGTGGATGTCAGAGTTAATCCACATTGGTTGCTGATGGATTTTATAACACAGACATGAAAAAGCAGGGACGACAACTGTGTTGCTACTCGTAATGAGTTTGTTTAAACAGCATCTGACAAGATTTTTTTTTTTTTTAATGAATTGCTTTCAACCACAGGATTCCATACAGAAGCTGCTCAACGTAGCAACAAAGGGGTCTTTCTTACAAGTACTAACTGCAGATGTAACCGACACAGAGAGCTGTTAAAGATCTCAGTGAATAAAAATTGCCAGATGTCAAACATTTCATCTTTAACAAAAAGCTATAGGTCTATTTATAGGCAACGCTTTTACCGGGGATGTATATTGTAAGTAGGTATGTAGCATGGCTACAGTCAACTCATTTGATATCCTGTAAGATCTACTTTTGGGTGATATGGCCACTTTATTTACTGATTGAGTGATATGCGAATTGTGATAATATTTTAAAATTAAAGTGAACTTGTTACTTTATTTTAAACTTTAATTAAACTAAATCCTTTTGCTGTGTGCCTACCAAAATGTAAAACATTTTTTCAGTGACCTTCAATGGAGCTTCATAGAATTTTCAGGATACTCATCTCCTCCAGAATGGTTCCAGCACCGACATTAACCAACATTCATAGGCATGAATCCTCTTCTCTGTCCTACCTCTCTTTGTGGAGCCTCTGATGGCTTCCCAGACCGGGCATTTCCCCCCCACCCCCGATGACGCTGATGTGGTTATAGCAATGGCACACATGGGGCGCATGAACAGTGAAACATTTAAGCTGGCCATTGGCGTATACTAAGACAGATGGACATTGGCATAGAGTCTATGCCAATACTCTGTCTGCCATAACAGAGGGAGAGCACGAATTTAGTGGTAATTTTTTACACAAATTTATACATTAGCTTGCAATTTCACTAGCACAATGTATAGATGAAATTGGAACTGGATTTGAATTATGGAAAGTATATCAACCCATGACAGGTACCCTTTAAGGAACATAATAATAAACTCGATCATTGAAAACTTTAGTCCTACAGGAATTATACAGTTTCTCACATTAATTTGCAAGGAAACAATAACCGTTCTTTACCATTGAAAATGAGCTCAGGTAACTTAAAGGAACACTATAGTCATCTACAGAACTTTAGCTCAAAGAAGCAGTTTTTGTGTGTAGATCATGCGTCTCCGGTTTCACTGCTCAATTCTCTGCCATTTAGGAGTTAAATCACTTTGTTTCTGTTTATGCAGCCATTGCCACACCTCCCCTGGCTCTGATTGACACAGCCTGCATGAAAAAAACTGGTTTCACTTTCAATCAGATGTAATTTACCTTAAACAATTGTATCTCTTTCTCTGTAAATTGAACTTTAATCACATACAAGAAGCTCTTGCAGTGTCTAGCAAACTATTAACATAGCAGGGGATAAGAAAATCTAAATAAAACAGAACTTGCAATAAAGGAAGGATAAACTGTAGATGACTCTTTACAGGAAGTGTTTAGGAAGGCTGTGCAAGTCACATGCAGGAAGGTGTGGCTAGGGTTCATAAACAAAGTGATTTAACTCCTAAATGGCAGAGAATTGAGCAGTGAGACTGCAGGGGCATGATCTATACACAAAAACTGCTTCATTAAGCTAAAGTTGTTCAGGTGACTATAGTGTCCCTTTAAGGGTTATCTTGAAAACACAGCCGAGCAGGACTGAGCATTGTATTGATTATGATTCAAGGGCCACAAGCTTTGTGTGTGACATGGCTTCCCAGCTATGGGTTGGTTTACAACAAGCATGTCAAACTCACCCACAATTAATCATTTTGCGAGCCGCGAGTATGACATGCTTACTAAGGCAGAGTAGGCACCTGCTCTCCCCACATTGCAGGTACCTACTCTGCTAAAATGTACCCGGCCTGGGAGGAGAGGTCACTGGCGGCAGCGAAAGAGCTCAGTCTTTCTGCTCCTCGCGCGCGCTCTCTGGAGTGATGCCAGGTGCCAGAATATGAAGTCATTCCTGCACCCGGCATCACTAGACTGCACACGTGAGTGAGCAGTGAGGAGCAGGAAGGGAGACCTCAGGGAGAGGCCCCACACCAGCTCCCAAAGGTAGGGAACCAAAAATAAAATGATGTGAGTGTGTGCAAGAATGTGTGTGTGTTTCTGTCTGAGTGCGTGTGTCTGTCAGTGAGTGTGTGTCAGAGAGTGTGTCTGTCAGTGAGTGAGCGTGAGTGTGTGTCTGTCAAAGAGTGTGTCTGTCAAAGAGTGAGTGTGTGGGTCTGTCAGTGAGTGTCTGTTAGTGAGTTTGTGTGTCTGTAAGTGAGTGTATCAGTGTTGTGATGGCCGCACCTGTAGGTGCACGGAGGCACGCAATGCCATGTCACATTCCAACGTGACATCAACATGCTCCACCTTCAGGGTTTCAAGGAGTAGCGTGAGGATCCGCTTTGGCACCATTGGGGGTATACCAGAAGATGGATTCCGGAGTCGCATACTGGCAGCGGCAATGTGAGTGGAGTCTGTTTGTTGGCTAATATTGTTTTTGTTTTTTTAAAACAAGGTCCAGGGTTTAGAAGAGGGGCATCCTGGGATTTCGTAGAAGGGTAGGGGACTGGGATTAGTATAGAGGGGGGACTGGGAATTAGTATAGAGGGGGGACTATTGTATAGTAGAGGGGGATTCTGTGTTTTTTTTAATTCTTTATTTTTGTTTGTGCATAGATTATACATGGTACATTTAAGTCGGCAATGCCACAACAGCTGTTGCCAGAGATTCAACATACATTTAAAGACAATTGTGTGACATGAAGAACCGTGCACATTTTCAAAGTGTTAGTGAGGTTTAAACAAGTAAGTATACAAGAGAAATTACAATGAAGTAACTAGTTAGTTCAGGCATTAAGTACTATGGTAATGTTTAAGCAAAGCTAACTGGTTAGCAGTAGTCAATACACATGAATAAGTAATAGCTGTGAATGGAGTGAATGTAATAAAGTCAGGCAAGGTCATGCTGTACAGACCCCTAGAAGTCTTTTACACTACATACAGTGTCTGGTACATGGTACATGGGAGATGGTTATTAAGTAATATCCCTATGCTATTCACCAAAGAGGTAATAAAACATCACTGACAGGGCTAGGCAGCTGTGGTTTGCACAGCGACTCCTCACACAGAGCAGATCTTAGCAGTGACAACTAGTGAAGTTTAAAGGTAGCGGGGCATTAGACTCTGCCCTTGACTCAATGAGATGTCACATTCTGTTCAACATCATAAAGCTATAGATACAGATGAGGTCCAACTCCACCCTCAATGCTGTTACACATTGACAAAAGATAGAAGGACAATACACAGGCCAGTCTTTTTGGGTTGTTCATGATCCAACAACCCAAAGCAAAACCATTAAGTGAAGTTGACAATCCTGTTATAATAAACTCTGCATGTCAGTGTGGTCTATGACCAAAAACGTAGATTTTCGGTTTTTTGTCTGTAGCCCTTACTATAATAATTGATTTGTTTTTCTTTTGTAAAGAGTTCTGAGACTAAACTGGTCCATGGATTGCGGGATAAAACTTACCAGGAAAGGTTAAAGGATCGTAACATGTATAGCTTGGAGGAAAGACGACACAGGGGGGATATAATAGAAACATTTAAATACATAAAGGGAATCAACACAGTAAAGGAGGTGACTATAATTAAAAGAAGAAAAACTACCACAACAAGAGGACATAGTCTTAAATTAGAGGGGGAAAGGTTTAAAAATAATTTCAGGAAGTATTACTTTACAGAGAGGGTAGTGGATGCATGGAATAGCCTTCCAGCTGAAGTGGTAGAGGGTAACACAGTGATGGAGTCTAAGCATGCGTGGGAAAGGCATAAGGCTATCCTAGACTTAAGATAAGGCCAGAGATTAATGAAAGTATTTCGAAAACTGGGCTAACTAGGTGGGCCAAACGGTTCTTATCTGCCGTCACATTCTATGTTTCTACGGCAAAAACTTGTAGAGGAGGAGGCTTCCTCACCTGCCTCTTTGGATCATCTTTACTGCATCTTAGAATCCTTAGATGTTAGTAAAGAAAGGAAACCGAGATTTTGCAGAATTAGGTGCACAAGTAAATGGACATTTATTGACATGAATATTAGGGCTTGAAGAGGCTCATGATCTAATTTTGGTCACTGTTAGTCCAACCATAAATCCTGAGGCCTTTCTGGTCCTCAGTGATTGAAGCTTTACAGTAACGAAATGAAATTCCTGTTTGAGTAGACAAAACAAAGACATTTTCTATTGAATTTCCTGCTCAGAAAACATTTAAGATTATGCAAGATAATTACTTCCTCAAGTAGCTAAAAATCAGTATGTGCAAACGAAATACATTATATCAAGTTTTATGTAGGTCTAAATTAGTATTTCTGAATTAGCAGAGTGTCTTTCTCATGGAACAGATTAGAAGAGCATTCAAGCTGAGAGTTTGAATGAATTTTAGTGTTTGTGATACCATTATATTTTTATGTGATTTATTTCAACATTTTATGCCTTTCAGACATCAGAAGGGCTTGAACTGAGGCCACTGTTAGCCACACATTATTCTTCCTCTAAATCAGGGGTTCCCAACCAGTTCTCAAGTACCCAATACCAGTCCAAGATTTAGGGATTACTCTTCTGTGTCTAAAGTGTTTTTTTCCTTTTCTAAAAACACTTTATACTCAACTGGGTAATCCCTTAATCCTGAACTGTTAGGTGGTACTTGAGGACTGGGTTGGGAACCACTCCTCTAAATGAATTGAAGATGCCCCACAGTAAATGTTTATTGAAAGTGTCTAATAACGTGGTTCCAAAAATAGGGAAAGTTCAAGAGTGGCTACCATCCAACAGAGGTACTTAATTATAGGCTTCTGTATAGAATGCAAGTGTGTATTGAGAGTATGACCCTACAAAACGTATTAAGCATAATGGGGGGGAGGGGGGACTGTGTGTTTCTTATTATGGTCTCTCTTTGTAAATTGTTTAGTGATTATTTTCCTTGTATTTACTGTCTTAATCATTCCATTGACATTTGAGAGGATGTATTAGATAGTCAACATTACAAAGAACAAATGTTACTTTTGACCGTAGAAGAAGGCTAGTGGGAAGGCAGCAAAGCTTTGTTAAAATCCACATAGATCTCTTGTCCCTCCTCGCTTTTGGTATGTCCTCTGATTCTCAATTCTGAGTGCAAGGATCTCTATAATACAGAGGAACATGCCTAAAGGAAATGAGGATGAGAGGCATGGAGAATTTTTCCAATTCAAGTATTCTGAGTTTCACTGGTCTATTCTGATAATGCACAGTTAAAGGAATTAGCTGATAGCTCTCAACTAGCTCAGCCCTGGATGTCTGGCACCTAGCAAACAACTTGACTGCTTACATTAGGGGCGTCAGGGCACTGGACTGGTTATGATATTTTGAGTGTTCCTTTAAAAAAACATAATCATGTCAGTGACTTAAATTAAGGGTAGTTTAGCAAACTACTTTTAGCGAAATTTTCATGTTTTTGCTTAATTAAGTTGATTGGCTTAATGGTGAATCACAATGTTTAGTTAATTACAAATGTTGATGAAATGCACTTATCCTTTCATTTAATCTATCAGGAAGGGAGAACACAGTAAAGGAAACCAAGCCAGATTTTAATTCTTTTCAGTGGCTGTTAGACTTTCTGTGACCCTTAGACCCAAGGGCACAAAGCCAACATTTTTGTTGAAAGCCGCAATATACTTAGCACTATAATGATCACTAAAAAATCGCTTTATCCTGAGGTTGAGATATGGTTGTAACAAAATTATCAAGGTAACAGAAGTCATCAGGGCCTACATTTTACTTTGGGATTCAGTAAATTTACCCATAACCCCAAATCATTATGTCAGGTTAATCTCTAAATGCGACAAAATCCAAGAGTTACACATTCTTTTCAAGGATTCACATGTTTTATGATAATTTAGAAAAACAGATCATTGGCAATGGAACTTGCATTTAATTGTCAGGGGAGCAGTACCGCATTCCCATGAAATGTATAGGATGTTGGATTGTCAGAATATATCATTACTGGGATCAGTGAAGTTAATCATGCTTTTTGTTTTTTCAAATCCCAGGAATATTGATCATACATCCCTTGTGCAGTCTCTAAAGTCTCTACTTCACTGAATCAACTCAACGTCCTAGGAGAAGTGGGTCACTGTGCATTGATAACACATAATATAATTCATACAATCAATGACAAAACTGAACGCCTAGTGTAGTTGTGATGGGAGCGGTGCCTGTAGTTGTCATTTGAGCTGTGCCTCTATTGGTGATTGGTGTTGTCTGTGTTGTTATTGGAGACGTGACTGTAGTTATTGTACTTGTGATTAGGGCTGTCCATGTAGTTGCGATTGGGGTTGTCCATGTAGGTGCTGTAGCTGTGATTTGGTTCCTGTAGTTGTGAGAAGGGATGTCCTTGTAGTTGCGATTGGGCTGTCCATGTAGCTGCTGTAGCTGTGCTTTGGTTCCTTTAGTTGTGAGAAGGGCTGTCCTTGTAGTTGCGATTGGGCTGTCCATGTAGGTGCTGTAGCTGTGATTTGGTTCCTGTAGTTGTGAGAAGGGCTGTCCTTGTAGTTGCGATTGGGCTGTCCATGTAGGTGCTGTAGCTGTGATTTGGTTTCTGTAGTTGTGAGAAGGGCTGTCCTTGTAGTTGTGATTGGGCTGTCCATGTAGGTGCTGTAGCTGTGATTTGGTTTCTGTAGTTGTGAGAAGGGCTGTCCTTGTAGTTGCGATTGGGCTGTCCATGTAGGTGCTGTAGCTGTGATTTGGTTCCTGTAGTTGTGAGAAGGGCTGTCCTTGTAGTTGCGATTGGGCTGTCCATGTAGCTGCTGTAGCTGTGCTTTGGTTCCTTTAGTTGTGAGAAGGGCTGTCCTTGTAGTTGCTGTAGTTTTAATTGGGGAAGTTACTGCAGTTGCTCTAGTTATAATTTTGATTGCCTCTGTAGTTGTCTTTGTCTGAACCATCATTGCAGGTCTGATATCTAAAAGACCTTTGAATGATTAGATAGCATGAGTTTATGTACCTTCTCTGTCTATGGGTAATTACATCAATAATTTTCCTTTGTGACCTCAAAATTGCACTTTTCAAACTGCAAGTAAGTTCTATGGTTTTCTATGGTTAGACTTCAAGTAAAAGTAACATTTGTAAGATGTTAATGAAGAGAATGTGTCTTGGAAATATCTTATTAAAATGTGTCTTGGTCCAAAATAAGTTGAGAACCACTGGTATAGCCAGCTGTGCCAGGGAAGGATGGATGCGAGGAATCAATAAAATAAATGAATGCAATAAAACTATAAAAGAAGTATCATTAAATTTATTTTGATTACGTTTGTGTTAATTCCAGAGCTACATTGGTCTGCTAAAAAATTGATGTTTCTTTAATTATGGTAATGTAATATATACTATAGGGCCAGATTACTTTAAGGGACACTAGAGTCCCCAAAACGTTATCTTAATGAAGCAGTTTGTGTGTATAGCTCAGACCTCTGAAGTCTCACTGCTTAATTCTATGCTATTTAGGAGTTAAGTCACTGTTGTTTCTATGAAGCCCTAGCCACACGTCCCTTGGCTGTGGCTCACATAGCCTGCATTAAAAATGTTTTTTTTTTTAATTTTCAATCAGATGTTAACATTCTTTAGAAATGTTTATCTTCTGCTCTGTAAATTTAAGTTTAATCACACATGGGAGGCTCCTGCAAATTCTAGCAAGCTATTATCAGAGCAGGAGATAAATTGAACAGAATGTGCAAATAAAAAAGTTTAACCATTAGATATCTCTTTACAAGACGAATTTAGGAAGGCTGTGTAAGTCACATGCAGAGAGGTGTGACTAGGGCTGTATAAACAGGAACAGAGTGATTTAACTCCTAAATGACAGAGAATTGAGCAATGAGACTGCATCGGCATGATCTGTACACCAAGACAGAGCAAGGTAGGGGGGTTGGGTGGACTTCTTATGTATGAAATGTGTATGAATGTAATTTTTGTGTATGTTCTGTCAGTGATTGTGAGTGTGTGGGGGGGGGGGGATCTGTGTGTATGTCTGTGATTGTGAGCGTGTAAGTCAGTGATTATATATTTGGGTTTGTGTTTGTATATCTGTGAATATGTGTGTGTGGGTCTGTGATTGTGTGTATAGGTGTGGGTCTGTGATTGTGTGTGTGTGTGTATAGGTCTGTGATTGTATGTGTGTCTCTGGTTATGTGTGTATGTATGTGACTCTATAGGATCTGTGATTGTGTGTGTATGTCTGTGTGTTTACATCTGTGATTATGTGTGTCTATGTATGTATGTGACTGTGTGTATAGGTCTGTGATTGTGTGTGTGTATGTGTATTTGTGATTGTGTGTATAGATCAGTGACCGCATGTGTAGGTATGTGATTGTGTGTATAGGTCTCTGGTTGTATGTGTTTGTGGGTCTGTGATTGTGTGTGTATGTCTGTGTGTGTGAACATCTGTGATTATGTGTGTGTATGTATGTGACTGGTTTGGTATCCTTAAATATGGCAATTCCACACAAGGATAACAAATAAGGAAATGATCTATTAAATAAATTTAAGAAAAGGGAAGTTGTATTATATTAATTATTTATGTTCTAGATTTTATGTGCGGCCAAGGCAATTCCTCTGCGCTCCGTGCGACCCAGGAAAGCCAAAAGGTTGGACACCCATGCCTTAACAGGTGAATCATTTTGCTGAAGACATTGGTGAGAAGGCACCAAAATTCCCATTCCCATAAAGAACCTTTGTGTCAGTCCTTTCAGAAAACTGTAAAATAACAAATCAGAGAGGTGCTTATTTTATAATGCTAATTGCATCTAACTTAGTTAGGAGGTGCCATTATCCGTTAAGGAAAACAGGTATGGAATCCATTCAATATCGAAAGCTGGCTTTGCCATAGAAAAATAATCAGAGACATTTGTTCTCTGAGAAATAATCCCATTACAGCAATGCATGGTTATTTGCTTTCTTTTTATAATTTATTATTGTGTATTGTCTTCATTGTGTCTAAATGGAGATACAGTTGCTGAAATATTATGGATATATGTTGCATTATATTCTGCATAGGGATAGAGAAATAGAATGTGCTATGAACACTGACATAATTACTTTTTTTATTTTCATTTTAGACTCCATTTATTTGTGTGTCTCGAGCGGAAGACATCCTGTACACATTGTATAGCTGTGAGCTAAGATAAGCTACGTATGCACTGATGAAGAGCCAAAGACTGGCATTGTACAAAAAGCATGCGTGATCTTCCAGAATGCTTTTAGGACATCAGACAAACAGGTGTTCAGATTTGCTTCTCCATAGAGGATTTCTGTTGCTTCTGTTCCACGTTCAAGCTATTGCATCTTGCCCCAAGAGCTGCCACTGCTCTGACATTAGTGGAGCAATGGTAGTCCACTGCAGCTCTAGAAACCTGGAAGAAATTCCCATTGACCTACCAATGGAAACAGTGTCGCTGAAGCTAGATGCAAACAAAATTCACCAAGTGCCTAATAACGCATTCAAGGACCTAAGTTATCTCCAGGAGCTTGACCTTTCCAGAAATGCTATTGAGAAAATAGAGTTGGCTGCATTCAAAGGGGTAGCAGAGGGACTGAGGCTTCTTGATTTGTCAGGCAACCAGATTCATAGCATTCCAAAGGAAGCTTTGGAAAAGCTTAGGGCCAAGATCCGTCTCTCAAACAACCCGTGGCATTGTGACTGCACCCTTCAGGAGGTTCTTAGGGAACTCAAGTTGGATCCGGACACAGTCAATGACATTTCCTGTCAAACATCTGTTCAGGAGGAATATGTGGGCAAGCCATTAATTCAAGTTCTAGACTCTGGAATCAATTTCTGCAATATCCACCACAAAACAACAGATGTGGCTATGTTTATTACAATGTTTGGTTGGTTTGCTATGGTGATAACCTACGTGGTATATTATGTGAGACACAATCAAGAGGATGCCAGGAGGCATCTGGAATATCTCAAGTCATTACCAAGCACCCAAATAACCAAAGACTTTGATACAATCAGTACTGTTCTATAGATATAGAGCAGTTCACCATATTGTGGTGCATGCACCCATTTGCTGCTGGAATATGTTATTATATATTAAGAGAGCGAAACCTCTCTGAATTGAATGTCACGGTTTATCTTACACAACATTTTACAAGTCATATGGATACAAAACACATTCTGGATTCTCTAACATGCAAACCCACTGTGCTTTTAATATGCACTCTAATTATCTCTTAGAACTGACTTATTTATTTAATATGGAAAGTACTACAAAGCAAGTATCATCGTTAAGATTACCAGAATAAGAAAGGAAAAAGGCAGCATAGAGTTTAAACTATATAAAAAAAATAATAAAAAAAAAAAAGTACTCTGTATCACTATAAGTAGCAGCAAGCCTTTCTCAGTATATCTGCACTCTGTTTAACCACAGGAATTGTGGGACTATGTTAGAAAAATTGAGGTTCTCATATCAAACATATCACCCTGGATCGTAGTTTTGAATTACCCAAACGGTATTGCATATTGCAAGAAAATTATGTATGGGTGTCCAGTTGGAAGTAATTGAGATCCAGGAGGCATTCGGATGCACCAATTACATTGTAACACTAATGGTGTGAATCATTGTGAAACTGCATCACCAAACCATGTGTGTCCTCCTCCCCCTAGCCTGAACTAACCATGAGTTACATTTATCCAAGGCTTTGTGCCTAGGGGTGCTTCTCAAGTAAACACATCTAAAGTTTACTGACTTACTAAAGGGTCTTTACTGGAGGGTCTAGCTGTGTATATTGTGAGGTATGGCTAGATAACAAGATAGCATTCTGTTTTACAAAATGGCCATTCCGTTAACTAAATAGAAACACACAGCTTAACTTAGAGGGGAACAGTGAAAGTTTTCAGGGACTTGAAAAAGATTTTGGGAACAGATCATCAAGCTTTTATATTAAAAGGACATTTCACAAAAAGATATCAAAATTCTTTTGTATGTGTCCCTTCCTAATATTAATATCCCTTCTCTCTCTCTCTCTCTCTACGTTCCTATAAACGTTATCTGAATTTTTGGACTGATGGAGATTAATATGGAAATGATAGGATTCCCAAAGGGAAAAAGTTGTAACAAATATTTGTGGGAGCTCTTTGGCCCGTCCTCTAAGAGACCCTTTGCTACAACTCCTGGGTGCCATAGAAAAACCTCCATGGTCTATATTCTATTTTTACATGTTTAATTATAAAACTGGGATTATAATCCAAGAGTCTGAATGCCAAATGTAGAAGAATATTAATGAATCGATAGAACTGGCACACAGAAGTCATGACAATATAGAAATATAACACATTTAATGAACTACTATATAGTATTTTTAAAATAGATATTTATTAGATATGTATCTTTTTATATTTATTATACAGATCTGTTTCTGGGCAATTCATCCTCTGGACTTTCAATAAATGCTCAATGTCACTTGTTTCATCTCAGAAATAAAGACACTGTATATGGGAAGATTTATCTTTTTTATGTGTAAAGCTTAACAAATGGTAAATATGTCATCATGTAATTTTTTATCTCACTGCTGACCTGTATTTCTAATTTAAAAGCAAAAAAGTTACTTGTGCACTATCCCAAATCCCAGTGCACATTTAAAACAATTATTTGTGCATATTTTTTTTGTATCACTCCAATAGCTAATAACCTGAAAGCCTAGCTATGCCATCAAGATACATGGGCACTACACTAACAATTCACTTTGCTGCTTTCAAGTATATGACGAAATCTATACTAAAACAGAAATGGGTATTCTTATGAACTCCATTTATTCGCCAAATGCCTGTATGCTTCTGGATTAGGGATTCATTATCTGCCCTCTGGTGGCGCTAGCAGGCAAATAGTTGTTAAAAACTGTATGTGGGCATCACTATGATCCACACATCCATACAATGGAGGTTTTATACCTCCCTCCACTCTATGCAAGCTCAGTAAGAGAGCTCTGATTAATTGGCTCACAAGCCAACCAATCAGAGCTCTTTGACTAAAATTGCATATTACAAATTTCAGAGTGCACTCATTTGCTGGCTTCTGGGGCTCACATTGATTATTTTTATTGCGTTGTGGGTTTTTTTTCCCCTTCCTTTTTTGTAAACCAGTTTTTATTATTTATTTTCAAAGTTGCAATGGGACAAAATGGATTTGTGGTAGACCTTTTTTAAGGCTAAGGAAACAAAGATTGAAAACAAAGAAGATATCTGATGGATTTTTTTTGCCCCTATCGCTATTAGTAGGGTGAGTGGGGTAAGTTTACTTTTACTAGGTTTGGGGTGTATATGGTCTTGGGGACCCCTACTCACCCTGGAGAAGGGGTTGGACAATGACATTGGTTCCTCGATGGTTTTTAATTGAAGCTGCCACCCGCTGACCATGGTTTTGAACCCGGGAAGACCCTATGTCCCTCCCGTTCATTTTAATTTTAGCCTTCGCACATTGAGCATGACGTCCCCCACACATTAGTATTTAATTGGACCCCCACCATGGGAAATAGGGAGGACTATATGTTCCCCACTTTATCATTTTATTTAGGGAGATTTACAAAAGATCCACTGTACTAATGTAGGGTCATGCATAGGCTTTTTTTACTGCTTATTGTGGTGGTTGGCTAGCAATCACCTGCCAGCCGCCACATGATTAGCTCTGTGTGGAGGTGTCCGGTCCAGCTGATTTTCATTTTTTCAACTGAATTTTTTGGGAACCAAGCTGGGACATTGCCAAACACTGCAGGTCAGGAACAAAATTTCCTATTTGGAAAATTTTGCTCGGAAAAACTGAAAAATCTTGCATTTACAAATTTCATTAATATGTTTCCATTTTGATCTTAAGAATGTAATATGTCAGGTTTACTAAAAATGGTCATAAGCCAAACATCGTGTCCCTTGAACTTTCCTTTCATCAACTAAATCATGTTGTGTTGTAGCCTTAATGAGTTTCCATTGAAGTGCCATAATATATGGAGTTTTTACCACCCGTCCAAGGGTTTAACATCAATAGCCTACAATAGTCCAGGAATTACTGATATCTTAATTTTATTGATAAAAAACAGACAATCTGTGTTCTTGATCACTAGTTTAGGAACATTTGTACAGATATGTGGCTTTTATTATAAATGTCATTATAATTATTTGCCTATGACTTTTGTTTACACAATTAAACTCAATAGTGAAATGATGGCACTTTTGATTAATGTCTTTCAAGTTTACAGCGTCCTTATATTTTCCACTAGTCTCTGGAGTTACTGCCATTACATGTTAAACGAATAAAGCAGGTATTTGTAATGTAACTTGAGCTGTGTGTATTGCTGTATTTTAATGGTATACTGAGTATGTGTGTGCTTGAAGCAAATGTACAGCTTATCACTTGAAATATTGTTGTTGTGCAGCCTCTGATATACTGGTGTCTTGCTGGATCTAGCTAAAAGTTAATTCTAATGAAACTGTGCAGTTTCTATAACTCATCACAATATATTCTTAAAGTAATGCAACCCTTGGTTTGGTCTTGAAGAACAAAAATGGTTTGCAAGTTAAAAAATACAAGCTACTCTCTCAAAATTCCAAAATCTGAAAAATCGCTTTTCCTTCCATATGAAAGCTAATATGAAGCAAAAATTATAATGGGAAAAAAATTATTATTCTGTGAACTTTTTTTACTGTCTCACTGTTGACACCAAGTGGCCATGTGTGGGAATGCAATAACATTTACTTATTTCGTCATTAATTCCAGCTATGGTGTTGAAAAGTTATAGAACCCTTCAACTATTGCTTGTAAACCGTAAAGAGTGGCATACACTGTAAGGAGACACATTCCATTTTCGCATTCTTAAAATGTCTCAAGTGAAAGGAAAACACGATACTATCAGGAAATGGAGCTGTGCTAATAAAAAAAAAAAGGAAGGGGTCACTTGACCTGTACCAGAAACAGCTGATCATGACTGATGTAGGGTCAGCTACCATGGGAGAGAGCTACAGACTGTTTTAAAGGAAAGATACCAATCCACCTACATCATCATATTACCATTATAGAGCATGATTAAGAATAGGAAGCATGTAACAGGCAGTCCTGATCCAACTGGAAAAATAGACCCATTGCTCATTGTCTCATAAGCTAGCCATATTTCTTGTACAAATGCTGCAGCTTGTTAGCGTGGATGTATAAGAGCTAAACATGGAATATATTTAAATAATCTACTCATATTTTCAAAATTGAATTGTTAACCCTTGAAGGGTATGCTGTCAGAGGAGAACAGGTAAAGTAAGGAACTTAAAAGGGTACTTACCTATGCCAGCATCCAGCGCATTGGACTGTACTGTTCTAGGTATTGTCCTGATGGAGTTGATAATATTTAATAACAGGTCATTCGGTGCATGACAAATGGATGTGTGGTAAAAAACATGCTAACGAACACAGATATGCACACACAGACACTTTAACAAGCATTTCCCAGGTCTTTACAATGCCTCAAAGCATGCGGGAACTATTCATAGCTCAGGGATTCAGTGTGAAGTTTTACTCTAGTTTCAGAGTCCCAAGAGCTGACCTCATACATCATTTATACCGTCACATAGTTCATAAATTAGTTCCTAAATGACACAACACATATATTATAGCTATTATTTTTATTATTATAATTGTTTATTTATCAGAGTGATCTGTTCTAAAAGGTGGACTAAAGCACTAAAAATGGGTCCGTCACCATGGAAACCAGTGGAACCAGTAGTTACATTCTATTGGTGACATCTCCAATTTCCTACTTTTACAGCTCTTTTTTAGAACAAAACACTTAGATAAATCGCAGCTGATGTGTATGTTCCAACCAAAGCCCACTAACATGACAAGTATGGGTACTGTCACACTGGTTAAGGACCAGTGAATTAACGTTTTTTTTAGTAGTATATGAATTCTACATACACTAGGGCAGCAGTTTTTTTATTTACTACCCATCGTGATTGTGGTGTGAATCTAGTCACAATAGTTTCATTCCAGGAGGAGAATAAAATTAAGCCAGACCATGTATTGCAAACAAAGGTTAACTATTTCTGGGCTGATCTGTTTATTAATATTGCAATATGAGTCATCTGAAGTAAAAACCAGAAATCCGTATGGAGTGAATTAAATATGTAGAATTACTGATACTATTTATTAACCTTAATGGGTTCTAATTGTTTGCATTAATGACGGGCTTAGATATCAAAAATCACGTTATTTACAAAAGAAGATATGAAAATTAGCTAAACACATCTAGATGAAGACCAGAACATTAAGTTATTTCAAGAATTGTTATCGGACTCTTGCATTATATTTTGATTGAGCATGGCATATGTGGCATGTCCGTCTATTATCTGATTTTTGACATATTTTCATTCAGCACAGCATACGTGACATGCTTATCTTCATTAAATGAAATATATTGTTGGCAAAATGGAGTATGTATTGCAGGGGCGAACCAAGAGTATTTGGCACTTGGGGAAGATTCTGTGTTTGGCACACCTCCCTCCCCCCACCTACCTCCACAATGTAATAAACACCTGCAAAGATTTTAAAATGTTTTCTTTTTTTTTATGTATTACACAACTTTGTAAACTTTGCAAAACCCCTGTCTCCCCCCATCCTACAAAACCCTTGTCCTGCCCCCCTTCTACAAACCCCTGTACTACCCCATTCTACAAATCCCCTGATCAGCCCTGACTTATACAAGACCCCTGGCCCAATACAAACCCCTGCCCCTTCTACAAAATCCCTGCACCGGCACACACACAGTTACTGGCAGATAGTCACACACATAGTTACAGGCAGACAGTCACACATATAGTTACAGGCAGACAGTGACACACACACAGACAGTTACAGCCAGACAATCATGCACACAGTAACAGGCTTTCACAGGCAGACAGTCCCACGCACACCGTTACAGGCAGGCAGTCACACACACACAGTCACAGGCAGATAGTTACACACAAACAGTTACAGGCAGTATCACAAAGTCAAAGGCAGACAGTCACATACACATACACACAGTTACTGGCAGGCAGTCGCACACACACACAGTTAATGGCAGACAGTCACACACACAATCACATGCAGTACAAATGAATAACTGTGTTCCTTACAGCTCTTCATGTGGATGGTCCTACTCACATGGAGCACACAATAGACTAATATGACAAATGGAGACTTCTGGAATTAAGATGTGCAACTTCATAAACTGCTGTAGACTCTATAAGCAGGAACATTCAAACACATAGACAAAGATATAGGGTGCGCTAAAGGACAAAATGAAAGGTAAAGTAAAAACAAGAAATAAAACTGGATAGGTTTTCTCCTACTTCAAACTTGATAGTCAAAGGGATGCTCAGGATCCAAAAGTATATATAAAGGGAGAGAAATAAGGCTCCAATAGTGCAATAAGTTCAAAACAAAGTGCACAAATATATGACTTCCAAATTTTCTACTCACATATAATAGAGTTTTAACAAGCTCTAGTGTGATGCGCATGCAGTGGTTTTGATCCCCCACTTATAGTTTTTATGAACACCCGGCTACTACAACATCTGCTGACTGTACCTTCCATTGATATCCTGATAAGTGGGGGATCAAAACCACTCCTGAGTTTGAAGAAGGAGAAAACCTATCCAGGCACCGAGAGACTCTTTCATATCTCTATCACTAGGACTTTTATTTTGTTATTGTTGCTATTGTCTTAGGGTACCTGTGTTTCATATACTTTTTAGAAGTTTTATTTTCTGTTTTTACTTTACTATTCATATTGTCCTTTGGCACACCCTATATTGTTGTCTATTTTTCCATTATTCATTTCCCTTTCTAGGTGTGCTGCCTTTTATTCTGTTATATAGCGCTGCCCCATTCTTTTTTTTTTTTTTTACACATTCTCACACACAGTCATAGGCCGCACAGCTCACACATCCCTGGCCCTAGTCATGGCTTATCCATGCAAAACACATGGTAGATTTGCCATCTCTAGGACTGCAGTATTTTACACTATGGCTGCATAAACAATAAAACAACAGTAATCAATGAACTGTTGCTGATGTATAGTAATCTGATCATAGCAGATTGTCAGGCATTTGCAGTTTGGAGAGCTATGCAAAAACTCACTAATACACTTGGATGGGTCTATATTAATAAAAATAGGAACTTAGATTTCAGTTAATATAGCTGTTCTGTGAAAGAATGCAAAGTGGAATAGATCCAAAGACACATTTTGCTCTGAGGCTTTATGATTTCTAATTATGCACTGATTTTTTCATTTCATTCATATTCTAGAAAATAAATCCCATAGCAAGTCCCAGACGTTTTTTACTCTGAAATAATTATTAAACATTGCTATTGTTCAAATAACCCTGAAACCATCCAAAAGTTAAAGGGATACTATAGGCATTAAATAAACTTTAGCTTAATGAAGCTGTTTTTGTGTGTAGACCATGCTACTGCAGTCTCACTGCTCGTTCTCTGCCATTTAGGAATTACATATATTTTGTTTCTGTTTATGCAGCTATAGCCACACCTCTCCTGGCTGTGACTGACAGATTTTCAATCAGATGTAAACTTGTTTTAGATGTTTTTATCTCCTGTTTGGGGTATTGCATGTGAGAGGCTGCATGTAGGGTTGTGTGCATGTACAGTTGCAAGAAAAAGTATGTGAACCCTTTGGAAGGATATGGATTTCTGCACAAATTGGTCATAAAATGTGATATGATCATCATCTAAGTCACAACAATAGACAATCACAGTCTACTTAAACTAATAACACACAAATAATGAAATGGTGCCATGTTTTTATTGAACACACCATGTAAACATTCACAGTGCAGGTGGAAAAAGTATGTGAACCCTTGGATTTAATAACTGATTGAACCTCCTTTGGCAACAACTTCAACCAAACATTTCCTGTAGTTGCAGATCAGACGTGCACAATGGTCAGGAGTAATTCTTGACCATTCCTCTTTACAGAACTGTTTCAGTTCAGCAAAATTCTTTGGATGTCTGGTGTGAATCGCTTTCTTGAGGTCATGCCACAGCATCTCAATCGGGTTGACGTCAGGACTCTGACTGGGCCACTTCAGAAGACGTATTTTCTTCTGTTTAAACCATTCTGTTGTTGATTTACTTCTTTGCATTGGGTCATTGTCCTGTTGCAACACCCATCTTCTGTTGAGCTTCAGCTAGTAGACAGATGGCCTTAAGTTCTCCTGCAAAATGTCTCGATAAATTAATTTTTCCTTTGATGATAGCAATCCGTCCAGGCCCTGAC